ATACCAGATTTTCACAGATCCTTCAGTGTGAGTAATTCTGCGTTTGAGACAAACACTGTAGTTGTAGTGGAGAAGAACAGGTTAACAGAGTATTTTCGTGTACAAAGACTGTAGCATCTCACATCAGAGGGCAGCTGGGAGAGATTCTTCTGCTCGCTGAAGGTTTTTTTATACAAGTGACTGGGCTGCCGGGTCACACTGTCATGGATAAAGTGAGGATACTCTCGATGATAAGTAGCCTTGAGGATGATGATGCCTTCTATGTTGATGTCCACATGAGTGTGTAACTTAAGTCTATGCTAAGTTTTTTTTTCTGTTTTAGAAGTATTAAAATGGGGCAGTGAAGAAGCAACCTACTTATAAAGGGCTCTCCTTTATTCTAAAAATAATTTTTAGTGCAACACTGCCCTTTTGTGCTTGTGGTTTGCCCTGTAAAAAAAAAGACTAAATTAGCAAAGCAGACGTCACTGTTGCTAAGTGGTTATTGCTGTGCTGTTTCTACACTTCAGGTTTTCTAGTGTGTTTCTGAAGGTGGCGCCCTTTTGTGTTTCCACTACTCACGCTAACAATGTCATCCTTTCTCTGTTAATTGCAAAAAAGCAGTGGCTATTACTAGAGATGTAGAAAATTCTGTTTAATCACTACTTTTTTTTAGCAAGACAGAGATGTGAAATTAATATTTATATTCATTAAAAACTGTCAGAAATGATACAGTTTAATTCGTCCATAAGACTGGAATTGTCAACACTTGCAAGAAGCTTCCTGTTTTGAGATCAATGTGGTATTTGCCTGTCCACTTTCCACCCATAATAAAACTTTACAGAGACAGAGATGCATATGATGAAAAGCAAACATTTATACATTTGCAAATGCAAATGGAAATAGCTTGCAAACTTACAAGCAGTACATGCATCAGGAACAGCAAAAACAGTTGAAGTAGCCTTCAGGCGATACATCTTTAAAGCTGCAAAGGCTTCCATCAGCACACTGAAAACTTGTCAAATATCTTTAAATAAGTGTGATGAGTTTGCCTGTGATTTGTAATAAACTATCAGTAAGCTTGTGATTTCTCATAAAACTAAATATCCAAGAAGAGATGAGGGGCAAAGGAGCCAATGAGGACGACAAGTGAGAGGATGAGAGAAAGGAAAGAGACGGGGAAAAAAGAGGGAGGGCGTCCCAGTAGGCTTCTTTGTTGGGCAGCGATTTAGAGATTTACAGGCTCTTGTCCTTGTGTGTGTATGTGTGTGTGCATCCGTGTTTGTGTGTGTGTGTGAAGAGAGAGTAATTGAGCCTCCCTTCATCCAATATTTACCCACCAAACCGGAGCAATCATGCGAATTATGTTTACTGGGAACCAAGTGTCTTTCTTCCTCTTTATCTTTCTTTCTCTTTCCCACTTTGCCCATTCCTCACTCGCTCTCTCCCTCCTGGCAACTAGACACCATATCAAGATCCAAGCCAGGAGTAAATCACACACACACACACACACACACACACACACACACACACACACACGGGGGAAACAGGCCCATCTGTATTGATGATGGCCTAATTTAGATCTCTTTATTGGACTGATTTACGATGGCCAGACAAATCTGGGCATCTGGACCAAAGTGTGTCTGTATGTGTGTTTGTCCAGTTGAGCTGATACCCATTCAGACACACAATATCCTCCCTGCTTCATTTCATTCTTTCTGCATGTGTTTTCCTACCTCTCTGTGAATCAGCAGTGCCCTTTTCTCTCTCCATCAGTCTTGTTTCAGCACTTTGAGTCCTCTCACTGCTGCAATGATGACGCACGTCATCCTGAAACGTTAAAAAACAACAACACACAAATCATCATGCTGGACACAAAAAACACTCAGGCTAGAGCCCTTATGGGTCAAGGTCACTGAATCTCTTACTGTTCTACTGTGTGTGGCGGTTTTTGTTTCATAGCTTTGAGTTTGAGATATCACAACAGTTCAAACAAACACACAGGAAACAGAAATAGCAAAAGCAGAGTTGGGGGACTTGCTGAAGAGCAATATTCAATCAGGGCATCCAGATTTTGTATCTACAGCCCTGCATATTTGGTGTTTCACTGATGCACCTCACTCTAGTGAACATGACTAGAATAAGCTTCAGTTTGGAAATGATCAATATGAAGTGAAGAGATCAAAGATCAAAAATATTAACATCAGAAAAGAAGAAGAGTTCTGAGAAGATGTGAAAAAAAAATGTATTTCTTTTTTTTTAGACGATCAAATTTGTACAACTAAAGGATCAAGGGATGTAATCCAGGAGGGAGAGGACGCCTCAAAAGCACATTTTATCTTCAAGATCAAGCTCAGGTTTCAACTTTTATTTGTCCCAGTGGGCAGTTTCTCAGCAACTATTAAAAACAGCAGCTTGACTTTGGAGCTTTCTCTATTTTCTCGCAGAGGAAAAACTAGATGGTTTAGCCTTTTAAAATTACACAAATGTTTTGGCACCTTCTGAGGTTGAATGATTTTGTTGTTCTGGCAATCATTACTATCTCTAATAATAACATCGCATTCACAAAGTTAATTGCTGGGATCTCAAACGCAGCAGCATCACTAAAAAAAAGAAAGATGGGGTTAAGAAAAACAGGCAGTCAAGACAATCTGACGTGTTTTAAACAGCCAGGTTAGTCACACATACACACTAGTGCAAGAACTGTGGAAGGCAAATGTTAAGTTAAAACAAAACAATTTGTTGTAAACATTCATCACAGTTTATAGTTTATATAATTTTGAAAGTGCTCACTTTTGGTTTCACCTCCAAATAGAGTGGTTTAGATGATCTGGCTAAACTGTTGGCCTTTTTCCAACCTTTCTGATTGTATCACCACTTGTTTGTTAACTTGCTGTTGTTATAGCAATTTTGCCACATTCCCTGGTCAAAGAAATTAATGTGACCATAAGTGATACGAAATACAACTACAGAAATAACACAGGAACGTTTCCTTTAAAGTGTACAAATGTGCAAAATCCACCATGTCTGAACCGGCGTAGACATCACCTGTAAAGTTTAATTGTTGCTGTGTGCATGAGAAAGAGTGTGTGTGTCTGTGTGTGTGTGTGTGTGTGTGTGTGTGTGTGTGTGTGTGTGTGTGTAGTAGTGTAGTAGTGTAGTAGTGTCTATAGCAAGACAGTGACAGAGGGCCTCATTGAAATAACTGTATCCTCAAGGGGCCAGCTAAAAAGAGAGAGTGGGTAGGTGAGGGTAGACAGAGTATATGAGAGTCCAGGGAATCATTTAGGGTGTGTGTGTGTGTGTGTGTGTGTGTGTGTGTGTGTGTGCATGTGTGTGTGTGTGTGTGTGAGTGGGATTCATCCGTTCTGGTGGCCACTAACCTTGGCATGTCCTGCCACGCGTGACGGGGTGACACCCGGCACTGCCGTCGTCCTCTATGTGTGTGAGTTTGTTGGGGTATATAGGAGCATGTACCTCGTCTGGAGGAGTCAGCTGTCTGTGTGTGAGTGTGTAAGTGTGTGTGTGTGTGTCTGTGCATCTGCAAGCAAGAAAAACAGACAAAGAAGAATAAGAAAAAAGAGAGCGGGTAGAGAATCCTAGTCAGGTTGTTTAGTGTCATTGTATGATCTTGCCCCCGGGAGAAAGGGCAGAAAAAGGAATAAAAAAATGTGTGTGTGTGTGTGTGTGTGCCATTGTTCTGCTGTCAAACAGTGCCATGAGCACACACACACAGCATTAAACCCCATACACAAACACACACACAAAGCCTTGTGATGACAGTATATTTATGCCTGCATGTGGAAAGGACAATTGGATCCCTGCAATTCCTTCGCTCTTGTTTAAACGCGTGCGCACACACACACACACACACACACACACACAGACTGTGACAGATCACAGACAACTGTTCACCTGCCGTTGTCAAGGACCGAGTGTGTCATCTGTCATTACTTGTGACTATATGTGCATAAGGAACTCTGACACCAAGCACACACATGCACAGCTGGAGATGTTAAGAAAGGGGAAGTATATCAGGGGAAGTTCAGAGCTGAAGAAGAACTTGGTAAAGGAATAGTAATATATGGACACCTGAAACACACGCACACGTAACTTAATTCATCATTTTCAGTCCATTTTCTAAAAACAAACTCTCTGTATTTGAAGACTTGTTCCCTATTTAAATTTGCTTGCATTTCACTTGTGATGTTAGACATGTGAATGTGTCCTGGTGGACTTGGCCTTGGCACATATGAAAAATACATTATATGGTCAGAAATCCAGTACATGGACACATTATTTTGTGTCCTTTTGGAGTAGAGCTATATGGTTTGGCTTAGGCTTCTTAGTTCCAGTTAAGGAGGGGGAATCTTAATGCCACAGCAATACAATGATATTTTAGACAATGGTGTGCTTCCAACCTTGTGGCAACAGTTTGGGGAAGACCCTTTCCTGTTACAACGAGACAATGCCCCCATTCACATAAAGAAATGGTATCCTCAGCTTTACTGGCCTGCACAGAGCCCTGACCTCAACCCCATTCAACACTTCTGGGATGACCTGGAACTTCCGTCTCTTATCACCCAACATTACTGGCTGACCTCACTAATAATCTGGTGGCTGAATGGGAGCATTTCCCTGTAGCCAGATTTCACAAATTTGTGGAAAGCCTTCCAAGAAGAATGGAGGCCGTTATAGCAGCAGATTAATGCGCAAATGAGATGCTCAACAATCACATACGGATGTAATGTTTGGGTATCACCATACTTTTAATCATATAATGTATGTCTCAAGGCACGTTCTACTAAAAAGATGTGAATGTACTCACAGTTCAGAATTTGAAACTTTTCATAATCATGAATACTGTATTGTAACTTTAGGACAAGAAAGGGGAAGATGACTGAAGGGAAGTTCCTCTGCAGTTCAAATGATCAAAGCAGGCATATCACTTATGATTTCCTGTTTCTTCCTACCTCGTTCCCTCCTCCTTTGCCCACTCCCTTTTCCTTTCTCCCCTTCAGGTTCCTGAGCGATTTCTGGAGGTGGCCCAGGTGACTCTTCGCGAGTTCTTCAATGCCATCGTGGCAGGAAAGGATGCAGACCCATCCTGGAAGAAGGCCATCTACAAGGTGATCTGCAAACTGGACAGCGAGGTTCCTGAGGTCTTCAAATCCCCCAACTGTCTACAAGAACTCCTCCACGACTGACTAGGACGAGAGAGGAAACTTGGCAAGCAAGACAAACCTCCAAGGACCGTGAGAAGGCCATAAGAAAACGCAGAATTAGACTAGGTTGAGGTCTTTAGTGAAATGCGTTTGGAGGTCTTCATAACACGATGTAGAGACTTGAAGTGATTCTACTTGGAGGCTTCCAGAGAGCTTTGTTGGTGGATGCTTTTGCTCAGCCCTTCTTTCAAAGACAAAACTGCCCTTAAAATGTTTTATAAAGAAAAAAAATATTCCTCTTCCATGGGGGAGAGGGCTCGGACTCATGAGTCAGATGACACTCAAATTAGCTAATTATGTTGAGACTTTTAACAATTAGAAGCAAAACGGTGAAAATTGAACCTCCTTGCACTTACAGAAAAAGTACTTCTTGACGAAAACCCCCTCTCCTCTTTCTCCTCCACCTCGTCCACTATTCATCCTTCTCTGGAGGAACAATGGGATGAGGAAGATGATGGATCAATATTCAGCCCATACCTTGGGGAGTGAACTAAAAATAAAGAAGATAATATATAAAAATCTTTTTATTGTGGATGTTTTTAAGTTACATGGACATTTTTGGGAAAAAAGTTATGTTTCTGTATTTTTCTCCTTTGTATAAGCTTACAGCCTCTCTTCTATGAACCCTCAGTCATTCACATAGTTACACGTGCACACAACACCAAAACAAAAAACGCACACTTAAACACGAACACACGCACACGCACACACGCACACACACACACACACACACACACCTCTTGAATAGGAAAGCACAGTAGCATTCCCAAATCCCCACCCATACCTAGACAAACTGGGCATAAACAATAGATGTTCATTTCCTTCTTTTTACTTCTCCCTCTTCTTACTGTACTGAGATGTACTGGGTGTTTATTTGACTGTGTGGCTCTCCCTGCCCCACTCTTCCCTGGCCGCCTCTCTTGGCTCATGTTGCATTCAGGCACCCAAAGCATCGAAGACAAATTCTACCCATTTTATTAGAAAAAGAGTTAGTCCAAACCTGACACAAACTGTATGGAAATTTATTTTAAGATGTCATGAATCAGAATCATGATTTTTTTTTTTTACATAAACACATTGAGACATGTTTTATAAGGAAGCCTTAAATTTTGCTATGTAAGATTTGTGACAAAGTTATGTACTGAGCAGGATATTTCATAGTTGAAAAATAGACTTAATTGTCAGTGCTTTCTGGTGGACAAACTGTGTAATGCACACTCTTTATTAATTTACCTCTTTTTTTTGAATTTCTGTAGTGTAATTTCTGGCGAAATACACCAGTATCTATATATCTGTCATAAGCTAATCTCGGGTTCAACTACCATTGGTTTATTTACAATATTTTCAAAACACAGATGCTATAAAGTGGATTTACTGTATGTAAGTCATTGCTGTAATAGTGTTGCTTAATTTTGTAATGATTATCAGGACCCAAACTGTTTCATTCCAGTTTCATGTGGTTTGTAGATCACTCTCTAAGCATCATTCCCACAGGACAGGCTAACTTTTGGCGATACGCACTTCACAGTGCATCTTTTAAGTATCGATTTGACTCAAACACTTGTGTAGAGATTTATAACACTTTTAAAAACACTGAAGACTAACTGTTGTACAATCAGACGTTATCAAAATTGAGAAAATCCCCAATTTTAAACCCCCTTTTATGCTAAGAACCTTGAAACTGGAAATCACAAAAAGTAACCAAACCACCACTGAAAAAAAATCTCTTTGCTCTGGATGGCCAAGAGGGGCAGCTGCACCGGCCAGGTCATGTGTGAAGTGTTTAAGGTTTTAACAGCAGAAAAAAAAAAAAATAGATATACAACAAAATGCTGATATTTGTAGCTTGTATAGATGTAATAATTACTCTGATCACTCTGATATTGTTATTATTTATAATTGAAATAATTATTCCTATTAATGTTATTCTGATGATGATGATTAATGCTTGCTACAGATTTGACCAGTGGTTTACTCATTGTTTACCCATCACACTGCAACATGAAATAAATTATTCTTTGAAAAAAAAAACATAAGGTTGTATGTAAGAGTGTGATTGTACTTTTCTCTATTCTATTTTTGTTCAGCAGAGGTGCAGAGGGCGTTGACCATTCACATGTGCCTGCCCACACATCAAATCGCCATAAACCCAAGCAGTAACCAGGCAACATGATGGCCACCTTAACACTACCCATGCCCCCTCTCTCTCTCTCTCTCTCTCTGGATCCTGTATAGGGGACATGTGATCCCTTGTTGTTGTTGCTGATGAATTGAAAAGAGGAGCGCTGTGTGATTATTGTCAGCACAAAAGCCTCAAAAAGCTGCTGACGCCTAGATTAGCCAGTACAAAGACACAGGGACAGACACACACGCACACACAAAAAGACATAGGTACAGACTCACACTCATACACACACACACACACACACACAAAGGCATAGGGACGAGGCCTGTCTGCCCTCGTCTGCCCTACCATCCTTCTCACTCCTCTATCCCTCCTCTGCTCGTCCTCTCTCAGTGTCATTACTGACATTACTCTCTCCTCTTCCCCTCCTTACCTTTCCTATTTCCTCTCCTCTTTGCTTCCATACTCATATGTTTCATTTCTGTCATCCTCTCAAACCACTTACCTACCTAACACTCCACACCATGCCCTCTGTGTGTTGGCGCCAAATGCTAACTGGCATCACACAATGCCAACCATCACCAGCATGATATAAAATGCAAAGACTCAATGTGCCTCTCTTTATTTCTCCTTTTAATCTCTTACATACACAAGATATGTATAAAACATAGCTACACTTACGTCTGTGATCAAATTCCAGCAATGATGACGGTAGTATTTGTAAGTAAGAATGCATGTATTTCCAGAACCCCAATGAAGATAGTAGCACAATAAAATGTTTATAGGTTTCTGCAAAGTGACAGCTTTGGTAATAATCCAGTTTCAATGATGAGAGTCTACAGCCATGCTGGTGGCTCTTTGAGGCTGCAATATGTTGGGCTAAATGCTAATGTCAGCATGCTAACATGCTCACAAAAGGCAAGATCCTGATGTTTAGCAGATATAAGGTTTAACAAGTTCACTATCTTAGTTTAGCGTGTTAGCATGCCAATATTGGATAATTCGCACTAACCACAAAGTATAGCTAAAGCTGATGGGAATGACATTAGTTTTGCAGCGACAAACTGAAATTTAGACCTGATGGTGTTACTAGTGAAAAACGTCACAGGATCACTAGAGTCAATCGGATTTAACTTCTGGGGAATGTTAATTATCATACAAAATTTAATTGCAATCATCAAACAGTTCAGATATTTTAGTCAGGACCAAAGTGGTGGACTGACCAATTGTGTCATCACCAAAGCCACGCTGCTAGCATGTCCAAAAATCTAAATGCAGCCACTTTGCAATGCTAGAGAGGCAGCCAGCTAGATGCCTGTTTAAAACAGCCCAATTGTTTGCTTTGATTTAATTGGTTTTACAGTCAGAAGAGTGTGTATGGTAGTCGGAAAAAAGGATGCCAGTGTGCCCTGAAGGGATGGACAATAATCAGTATATCAGTTAAGTTAAATTAAGGCTATATATTTTAGTTTTACATTGTTTAATGTTAACTTAAGTGGTTAAACGTAAGTGAATAAACCAACTATAATTCATATTAAGAGTTTTGGTATAGGTGCTAATGCTGATGTTAAGCACATCAGGCATGGGCCATGACATGACTGATCTACTTTGAACAGACTTTCATTGTCATTTTCAAATTCAGTGTCAGTTAATTGAATTCTGTCATAGCAGGACACCCACTCAGATTTTAGTGCACAGAAATCCCTGGTCTCACATTTGGGTACTAGATATTGGCTAAACCTAAGATGAGCTATTAGAATTGGTTTTCAGATATTAAAAGTTGGATAGTGCATTCCTACTCCACAGAATTTGACCATTGCTTTTGTAGTCTGTCTCTCACAAGTGAGATACTAAATGGCTGGAGTGCCTCTTTTAATAATTTAGGGAGTCTGTTAAACACACACACAAATGAGAATACTCCAGGAATGAAATTGTCAACTGAGGTCAATACACTGAGGTGAATAAAGGTTTTCAACATATTTTGTCACTAAGTCCTTTGAAGAAAACAAAAGGCAGAAATTGAGAAGATATAGCCTTCTGCACATTCAAACTACAGCAGTCATGATCATCTTGTATGTCGTTTGTAAGTTGAAAATACAGTAAATTAAAAAGAATACAGGCTGAAAGAGATGAGTGGTGTCCTGTGCATTAGCTTATACTGCCAAATCTTTTCATTAGCACGGGAGGGGCTGAACAGGAGGTGGGGTCACTCATTGCTCTATATGGTCTCACACACACACAGACACACACACCGTCTGCCTGTGAAGGCACATCTGAGCAGTGCAACAATAAAACAGCTGTGTTTGTGTTGGCCTGCTGATTGTTTCATTGTCAATCACCCCGTCATACGCACAAACGCACTTACACAGACACAAACACACTTATTGTCCGCAGAGATGGCATGACAGTAATACATCTTGGGTAATGGCCGCTATTATTATGGAGTAGGGAGAGAGTTTATTATGGAGGGAAATCTCCCCTCAACATAATTCTAATAGCTGTAACTGTCTTCTCGGTGATAACTGCTGCTAATGTGGACTGTAGTGTTCGTGTGTGAAAGAGTGACTTTTTATTCACATGCACTGCCATATTGGTAGACAGATGCAATGGCCTGGGACGAGGAAGAAGCACAAGTTGATGTCCGTAGCTGCAAAATGACAATTTCAACAATGAGGATAACCGCAAAAACAGCCTGACTGCAATTTTTAGGATTTGATTTAGGGGTCAGCTCATTGGTTTGCATCTTTACAGAAATTAAGCATTTCACTAATATTATAGCAGCTGCAAAAAGGAATACTACCCAATGTTTTCATGCTGTTCATGTCTTTCTTTTGGTTTTCCCCTGGTATTTTCCTAAAATTTTCCTGTCTAGGTTGGACCAAACACACCTTTTGTTGACAGGGATGACCCTCGTCTTTGCAATGTCACATATAACTGATGATGATTGTGTAAAGGTTTGAAATGTGCATGCATGAAAAAGCAGACCAGAGCAACTACCAGCATGTGATCCAATTTGATCATTATGGTTGTAAAATAACAGTTAATGCTAAAACAAAGCCAGCAGATGGCAAAGACAAAGTACATGAAGTTTACAGATATCTTTATAATCAAACGCGTTACTGATCATTGATAATGATCGGGTTTAGATGGATATGTCTGTTCACCTGCAATATGACATTCCTCCCTGACTACACTTTTCATTGTTTAGCTTTATTTCAGATAGATCATTGTGTATTTTCACTTCACTATATCTATATCTGCCTCAACCGGCTTTTTTTATTTCTTCTTCTCTCTTGTCCATCCTAACATAATAACACTTGAGGTTACACATTTTCCAGCAAGATATTTATTTTCATATATTAAATCAAAAATTAAATCAGAAGCTTCAATCCAAAA